AGGGTTTACCTACATTTTTCCTTGGGGTTCCTTATTATGATTATAGCTCTGAGCAGCCCATAGCCTCGTTCTTGTTTTAAAGGCCCCTACAGTAGGGTTTTCGTTCAGAGCGTGGGTAAGAGTGCCCGCAACCAAGGGTTTTCCCGACTGCCGGGCTTAGGAATGATCCAGGAAAAACGTTTAGGGTCTAGGGGTGCTTTAAGGCTTTAAAGTAGTTTAGGCTTTAGGGTTTGTCTAGGGCTTAGAGTTTATTCAGGTTTTAGTTGATAAACCGTTAAAGTACATCTACTCCGAAATCCTACGTCCGAAAGCCTTCAGCCAGATTCGGAGCCCTCCATTTTCCGAGCCCCCATTGCCCTGTAAACCCTAAACCCTTACACCCTAAACCCCTAAACCCTTGTTGCCGTGGTGCTTCAAGGCTCTCCGGCTTGAACCTTCAGGGCGGACTCTTGGCCTTTCTGGTAGAGTGTGGGACTTTAGGGGACGCGGGGATGGATGGGCAAGTACAAAGAGAGAAAGAGGTAGATGGAGAGAGAGAGAGAGGGGAAGAGGGACACACAAAGAAGGACAAAAGATCAAGGTTACTGCATGTGTGTAAATATATATATATATATACATGTATAATCACAAGTAATCATAAGTATGTAGGTGTCTATGTATATACACATGCTGTATGTATGTATGTATGTATGTATGTATGTATGTATGTATGTATGTATATATGTATGTATGTATGTATGTATGTATGTATGTATGTATGTATGTATGTATATACAAATATATTGATATTTAGTTGGATTTCCGGGGTTTCGGGTTGGTGCCGTGGTGAGAATGGTGAACAAGGAAACTCCGTACATCCCGTTTGGCTGAGGGCTCCTCTGAAAGTGTCAAGAGGCTGGAATGTAACGTAGGCGTGCTACCATGAACCTCGAGACTTCTTCTGTTATCATGGCCCTGAGTTTATTTTTCTTTAGGGTTTAGTGCTCAGGGTTTAGGGTTCATAGAAATATGATATACTATACCATTTAGGGGGTTCGTCACTCTTTGTTAGCTGCCTTGAGTAATTATGTATGGTCTGCAACCTGGACATGACAGGTCTCAACCGAGTGATGGCAAGAAAGACTTCCGAGTACGGTCGTTTCGGGCTTCGGCTGTAGGATTTAGGGCTTGAGGCGCCCAACCCTGAACACGAAGCACCGTATTCATCCCAAACCCTGAACCCCTAAACCCCTAAACCCCAAACCCCAGGCCCGAAACCCCAAACCCTAAACCCTACATCCCTAGAAGCCAAGCCCTAAACCCACAACTCCAATCCCTAAACCCGAAACCCGGCCCCGAAGCCTAAGTCAGCTGTTCATCCCTTGCTCAAGAGATCCTCAGGTGCTCTCAGGGAAAAGCTCAGGGAGAATGCCGTCGCGGAGCTTCCGGGTGCATGCGGGGTGAGACTTTGGGTTTAGGGTTTAGGGTTTAAGGTTTAGGGTTTAGGGTTTAGGGTTTAGGGTTTAGGGTTTAGGGATTCGGGGGGTGATTGGCAGAGTCTGGGTTCAAAAAAGGGGATTCGGGGGTTTAGGGCTTAGAGTTTGGAGCCTTGGTCAACAGGAGCCGAATCTGTAGTACAATTCTTACAAGGATTCCTAGGTTGCGGATTGATTTCATGTCCTTGTCCTTCGTCTTACACTCTACACCAAGCTCTACACCCTGATAATCCGCGTAGGTCAGCCGTAGCCTTCGTTTATTTTCCGGAAAGCTCGTTCGTTAAAGGATCTCCGGCAATCAAGAAACTATCCAAACTGAAACGCCAAGCCAAGCCCTAGACCGACCCCCTCGTAATGCCGTAAACCCTAACCTAAGCCCTTAATATACCCAAGCCCGAAAACCCTAAGACCTAAACCTCAAACCCTAAGCCCTAAGCCCTAAACCGTAAACCCTAAGCCCTATAAGCCCTAAGCCCTAAACCCTAAACCCTAAACCCTAAACCCCTTTTTGCACAGCGCAGGCCAGGGCCTGAACTGCATCGAAAAGTTCGGCCTGCCCGGGAAGCTTCCGGTTTGCATCGCCGGAAAGGACCTTTTCTGGGTTGTCTTTTGGGATCTTTTTTGATTTCCCTTACTATTTTGTAGAGAACCATAATAGTAAATAATTTTCAAAGGGCTTAAAGGACAACTTAGTCTTTGAATTCGGCTTTGGGGCTTCAGGTTTAGGGTTTAGGGTTTAGGACAGGGTTTAGGGTTTAGGACGTCTGCTGCTTTGGGATTAGGCACTTAGGGCAGAGAGTTGAGGTGGCGCTTAGAGTCAAGATCTCGATTCTAGGGCTTTAAAGCTGGTTTCGGGTGTTGAGTTGAGGACTGGAACGAAAGGCAGCTTTTAGGTTTCGGCTGAGTATAACCCAGGCCCAACCTAAGGAAAAGCCCAGAGTGTAGGAACCTGATTATGAAACCCTGGCCCTAGAACCCCAAATATCTAAGGACTCATATTAAGAACCCCAATAACGACTCCCGGATTTCTTAATCAGGTTCTTCTATTACCATATTATAGAACCATTATGGATCCCTTACAGAACCCTTTAAAGAACTTTAAATTAACCCTGAGCCCTAAACAGATTCCTCTATGACCCTAGAATACAAAGTCCAGCCCCAGACTCTGAGCGAAAGGATCTCGAGGCGACGGCGAAGCTCTGCGAGAACCTGGACCTGCAGCTGCTTGGACGAACGTAAACTAAACTCTAAACCCCGGTTCAGGGCTTCGGGTTTAGGGTTTGGGGCTTAGGGTTCAGGGTTTAGGGTTCAGGGCTCAGGGTTTAGGGCTTAGGGTTTAGGTTTTAGGGCCCTAAACCCTAAACCCAGTTTTATTTGGGTGAAGAGTTACTTTACACAGAGGATGATGTTTTGTGTTGTTTTGTTGGAAATCTCGCTTTTATTTCTTTTAGGGGAGGTGGGGGGGGTATACTCGGGTCTGGGCATTTAGTCCGAATAGTATTCCTGCAGAGTCTCCACAGGGTGGGATGGAGTAGGGATCGTCCGGGATAAAGTAACGCAGGCGTAGGGCTCTGGCGTAACTGCGATTCAAACAAACTTCCGTTGTTTGGGCCCGGTCTGGCTAGTGTTCTGTCTTGTTCCTATTCCGCTTTGGATTCTAGGTTAGAGTTTGCGATATGTTAAGGTTTCTGCTGCACGGTTTGGGGCTCTTCCGCCTGCGAATGTATCCTGGGGTAGGGGCTACACTCATACGTCCACAGGAGGCCTGACCGAGACATTCGTTCTGATTACCATTAATTAGTAGAATTAGTAGAAGCGGTTCAATATTTGGCGTTAGTTCACTAGTTTTAGTGTCGGCTCCTGGATGAAGGATTCAAATCTGCTGGGCGGTTTGCTGGGCTTGTGGCAGGGGGGCGGTGGCCGTAAACCCGGGTGCCTTTTCGGATATTTGAGTCAGGAACTAAAATTACGAGCATGTGAGCCTTAAGAGGGAATCCTGAATCAGAACACCCTCCCCCCCTGAAATTTATTGCGGCTTCATGCTGCAAGGTTTTGGATTTATGTGGTGAGAAGCCGGGATTAATCTAAGCAGTTGTAAAGGATCAGGTCGGTTTTTTGGACGGATTCACCCAAAGTTTCAATTCCGCTTCTCCTCCACCCTCATTCCTAACCCCTAAACCCCAAAACCCCCTAAACTCTTTCTCTCCCATTCATTCAGGCCGGCACTTCTTCAGGGCGACGTCGGCGCAAAGCTGTTTGATCCTTTTTCGGATGACGGCAAAGATGGCTACATCTTACCGCAGATGATGTCAATAGTGGAAGCCTGGATGCACGAGCGCAGCGTGGGAATGGCTGTTTCTGCACGTAATTACTCGTAATTCTTCTGGAAGAGTTGACACTACCTATCTTAGTAGCTGAGTGAGCACACGTTACACTTTTTGGGATAATATGATCCCTTATAGAACTGAAAGTGTACACTTTTTGGGGCAACTAAGCTACTATAGTCTCGATTTAGTTCCTTTTTGGGGTCACCTTAGAAAATCCTTAGAATATGTATGGTTAAACCAAAAAAAGGAACTACAATGGAGACTTTTTGTAATTGTGATGTGTGCCCTCTGACACCGCCAGCCCCAGCAAAGTCCCGCGTTTCGAGGTACTGGCTTTTGGGACTGGTACGTCCCATTGAACTCGGGTACTGTTGGGGCCTACATAATTACCTATACAATTTTCGGGCTTCCTTATTATCAGAATAGCATTATGGACCTCAAAACCCTATTCTGATTACTAAGGCTCCTGCATTGCATCGTTTTGGGATACCCTTTTCATGACTTAGAGCTATTTCAGAACAAACCTCCCTCCTCACACGCCGGAACCCTAGAGCCGGAAATGCTGAGCGGAAGCCAACAAAAAGCTGTGGGGCAATGAATGTGGGAGTTTCCGAAAATTAGGGTACCTTATTTCGGGGTCCTTATAATAAGGATCCTATTATTTAGGGTACTATATTAGGGTCCCCTATTTTCGGAAACCCTCATGTAGAGAAAAAGAACCAGCTTTGAAGCAAAACGTTCAAGTAGCCAGAACATTCCAGCAGCGATGATTGTTGTGTACGAGCCCAAAAAAGCGTGTGCTCCTTCCTGTCCTTCGCGCTTTTGGATCATAAACGAGGTCGCACGCACAGAGCCTGAATGAGTATGTGAAAACTGAGACAACAAAGAGCTGGCGAACAGAGAGTATAAGTAGATCACATGCTAATTCTAGGTCTGCGAAGTTGTTCAGGGTTTACTGAGGGTGCAGTTAATCCCTGAACCCAGCGAGCCTCTACTGATGCCGAGGACCACGGGAAGAAGGTGCCATACCTGAAGCCCAGGACTTTACTAGATCTTACAAGTTGCCGTTGGGGCGGTTTCGTCGGTGCGGTTAGGGTTAAAGTCATTAAGAGGTACCTGGCGTCAGGCGCAGACTTCTTGCCTATGTTAGTATAATAAGCTTGTACGTGTTTTATCAGAACGCTAGTTATGAGCAGCCATGAGCTTTGAAGCAAACGCCGTTGAAAGGACCCGGCTCAGCGAGAAGGACTACGCAAAGCTGAGTTTGCCCGGGCCAACCAGGCCCTTCTGCTTGGATACTGTGCTCATATAGGTGCCCTGTGCAGGCTACCACTCGTCTCCATCTTAGTTCCTTTTTTGGGGTACCTTGCAAGATCCTACATATAATATATATATATATATGATAAAACCAAGAAGAGGAACTACAATGGAAACTACGTTAACCCACCAGAACCTACTTTTAGGGTTTATAACAATAACCTACACGATGGGTTTTGGTAGGTTATGGTATAGGTAGAATCCAGAATGCGAGCTCGTGCTTCTGATGATTCCTCTTCGGGTGGCTGGGGCGGGACTTCGGCAAGCTGAGTAGAAGCTTCGGACTCGGTTGGAACTAACACCCCTTAAGTCCTAAGTGCCGGGAGCCCCCTAAACCCCTAAACTCCTAAACTCTAAACCCTAAACTCTAAGCCCCAAACTCTAAACCATAAACTCTAAACCCCCAAAACCTTAAATCCTAAACCCCTAAACCCAAAAAGTTGCCGGGTGGCTTTTCGGCTTCCCAGGGCCGAAGCACCACTTTCGGATTTCCAAGCATTTCCCTAAAGTTTTCCTGTCCAGGCGTAGCAACATCCCTGCAGAGATGGGCTTCTCAGCTCAGGAGCCTTGGTCGGTTCGGATCTTGAGAGCTCGTTGCTTCATAGAGTGGGAGCCTCCTATTTATAAACCTTAAACCCTAACGCGAGTTTCCATGATGGGCTTGAGACCCCAAGACCCGATCGGTCTAAGGGTCTTTCAGAGCTTAGGGCTCGGGGCTTTAAGGCACAAGGCAACATTCTCTCGACCTGTACTACGAACAAAAGAGAGAGCGCTGCATGCGGAATTGCTGCTTCCGTCCCCTTTCCCGCGCCCTGGTGGCAAAACAGCTTTGAAGTACATGCCTCGGGAATACCATGGGGAGACCCCAAAGCCGAACCCCCCAATGAGCCTCAACCCAAAACCCTAAGCCCCCGAATCGTGTGCGATCTTTCTTGGCTGTTTGAGCTTTGGTTTCTTTTGAGACTGTATCGCTTGCGGTTGTTCCTTGCATAGTGCGCGTAACGGGAGGCCCTACTAAGTTTCACACCGACGTGCGCCTGACAGACCCTAAACCCTATAAGCCCGAAACCCTAAACCCTATAGCCCTATAAACCCTAAACCTCGTGAGGAGCCTGCCAAAGCAGCGTCTCCCCTTGTCGACGACGAAGCCGCGCTCGAGTTCAAGACCGAGAAGGCCTCGCCCCAAAGATTGAGGGTTCAGGTCGTTGCAATGAACTATAACCTTTAGGAGGTGAGTTAGTAAGCAGCTTATATATTCGCTTTTGGGTCGAGAAGAGGCGCGCAAGATGAATGCGCATGTCGACACTTTTGTTGGTCTTGGAGTTCTGACTATTCTTGGGCTCGCCGTGGTTACACCCCTATGACCCTTAAGCCCTGCACTAAACCCAAAACCCCTGAATTTCCCGAAACCATCCTTATGAGCCCTACAACCCTAAGCCCCTAAGCCGCTGCGCTGACTTAGGGGCCTTGTTAGTCTTAGGTTAGGGACCCAAAAAGGACATAAGCATAAGCAGTCTATTGGGATATCCCTACCTTATAGGGCTTCATTTTAAGGGGGTTTATGTGGGACATCCCTATCCTAATTTTTGCTTATGTGCTTTTTGGTTGCCCTATTAGGAGTCATGTTATCTTTTTCATCACTTGGGCCGCTGTTTGAGGGACATCTTCTGGTGCTGGGGGATGCAAGCGAGGGCTTTCGGTTCCGGGCTAGGAGAGAGGAGAGTGCGATCCGGAGGTGCTTGGAATTTGGTGCCTGGGGGCTTTGGGATTGAGGTATTGGGACTAAAAGTGGACAAAGGGGTGCCTATTAGCCGGGCCCACATAGCTGGAACCGGACTTGGAGCTTCGGGTGAACATAAATCTAAAAGGGAGGCTGCGCCATTCCTGGGTTTAGGGATGTTTGGGGTTTAGGGAGAATCCTCAGAGCGGCTTGAGCCGCCTCGAAAGTTAAACCCTATATTGGATTTTATAGGGTTTACTTGGTATAAAAGAGCCTACCTTGTTTAGAGTTCCTGATTATGATTTCCTTTTTTCCTAGACCCTCCATCCACCCTCTATTATATTAGACCCGAAATACCCAGTCGTAGGGATAAGTTACCACTATTTGAGGGCACCAGGAGGGTCCTTGTAAGCCCTTAGAATGGTAAGTTCTTTAGGGTGTAGATAGGCTTTAGCATTCTATACCTATAGTCTCCGTTGTAGTTCCTTTTTGGGGACACCTTACAAAATCCTTAATACATATTTGGTTAAACCAAAAAAAGGAACTACAATGGAGACTATAGGTAATCCCGAAGACTTGCAGGCCAAAGCTGAGCTGCTGCGGCAGATAGACTTCATCGTCGCAGAGTCGGCCATGGGATTGGCAGCGCCCTTAGGGTTTAGGGTTTAGGGTTTTAAGCTGTGTCGTCGGCTTTGCCTTAGGGTTCAGAGGGTGCAGGGTCGTTAAAGCGGTGCAGATATCGAGAAGTGCATTGCAGAAGCCGAGATCCTTCTTACCTCGGTTTTTTGACCGAAAAAAGCCTTTCAATAGACTGCCGGACGCGCATAGGATTTTTGCATGTTTTGTCGGCCGGGACATTGATTAAGACTGCATCCACATCCTATTCCTAGAGGCGTCAGTGAACTCCGCACCCTACCCTCTGCATGCATGGTGGAACTGTTTCACTGTATGATAAAGCTCATGCACGCGTGTAAGTCAGGCCGAACAAGTTCACGTGAGCAATATTATTGAGCCCCAGTGAGAGTACTTGAGCCTCAGAAGCAGCCGACTGCAGCCAGTCATCATCCCTCAAGCACGGTTCACCTTCAGGCAGGCGATCTGCTCTTCTTAGAAAGCGACTGGGCAAATGCGCCGTTCCGATCGTCGCTTCAGGAGGCTTCTTGCTCATAAAGGTTTGTGGGTTTCGGGGCTTCCTTCTTCACCGTGTTTGGTTTAGCTAGAGCTTCGGCAATATCTAGCAACAAAGCTTGAGAAAAGCACACCAAAACACCAAGCCACAAGGGCCCCCACCTTTGGAGAGCTTGAGGGGCTAGGAAAGAGACTCGGATGAAGTGCTCGCCATGCGCATCTGTTCAGTCTGCGCTAAGAGTATCCTGGTTCTCAGAGGAGTAGAACTTCGGGAGGCGTTCGGTTTGTAGAGCTGGACACTAAACCCTAAGCTCGAAAGTTTAGATCTTTAATCCTAAACCCTATCCTCCTTGTCCGAGTTGTGAGAGTGTAATCCTAAACCCTATTTTTTGCCCGTAGTTGGGTCTGGCGGATTTTTGGGCACAGGACGCAGGAGCCAGAACACCCCACCCTCCCCTGAACTCTTACGGTCTTGCCAGTCAGGGTTCAGGATTTTGGGCTCCTGGTTCAGAAAGGATTTCTGCCTTCAGTTGCGAAGCCTAAACCGTAATCCCTAAACCCTAAACCCCTAAACCCTAAACCCCATAGCAAAACCTGTTGTGGCAGATCGCTCAGCTGGGCCCGGAGTTCGATCATGTACTTCAGCAGGACCGTTGCCGACCCAGAGTTTCGGGTGCCGGCAGCGCATTACGGTTTCTCAGTAGCTGAGTAGGTAACCTTTAGCCTTTTGGGGCTCTCATAATCCTACTATAATTCAAAAGGTTAACCTTTCTTGGGCTAGGGTACTCAGCCCCTATAGAAGGTTTAGGGTTTCAGGGTTTAGGGCCGATGTGGAGTTTCCCGGCTGCTTGCAAGAGTCCTGGATGCAAAAGGGCCGATGAGTGGCATGGCAGACTTAAAGGTTTGCTCTAAGCGCTCATTTGGTTCCCAGCAGAGTCTCTTGCAGGCTGGGTTTAGGGTTTAGGGTTTAGGGTTTCAGGGTGCAGGGTTTAGGGTTTGGTTCTGTGCTGGTTGAGTCACTGCAAACCAGATGCAAAAGGGTTTAGGGTTCAGCAGCTTTGATAGCAGCACACGGTGACATGAGGTGATGAGGAGAAATTACGGCAACACAAGCAAATTCATGGGTCATGGAGGATGTTTAGATTCAGATGACTTACACAAGGAAAGCCAGAGGTGTCTCAGTCACAGCTTGACAAACATCTGAAGCAAGGGTCCGCATTTCTGGCTTAGGGTTTAGAGCTTGGTTTAGGGGTTTAGGCTTGGGCTTCGGGTTTAGTGGTTTACGGTTTAGAGCTCGGGCTTAGTTTAGGGGTTCAGGGTTTTATAGGGTCAGGTTTCTTTCTCTTTTGCAGGAGCAGTCACCGGAGCTGTCGCTGGTGCACGAGGCCGGCAGCTGCCGAATACCCATGCCCCCCAAAGGTTTACAGTTTAGGGTTCAGGGTTAGATCTGTGATCTCGTGTGGATTCACATCGTCCGAATAAAGTAGCCTCAAGGCCCTTTTTGGACATGTTGGTGCTACTGAGGGTCCGAATCGGCTACAGAGAATCATGCTTATAGCCCTTGCTGTACGTTTGGTGACCTCTCTGAGCCCTTAGACTGTACATGCCGTAGCACTTGATATCAGACTATTAACTTGCCCTGCATCCTGAAAAAATAGCAGTGTAAGGCGTCATTACCAAAAAAAACGGAGACCTTTCTGAAAATAGGAGCTGGTGGCAAGCTGTGCCTCCGTCATGTCTCTCGGCTCGCCTTTAGTGAGCCTTCCTGTGAACTGTGGTTTGAGGCGGGGGGTTTTCGTTGAGCTTCCTATCAAGAATTTGGGATCAGGGGGCCATGGCCACGACACGTCTTAAGGCTCATGAGTCCCTGAAGCCCAAACCCCTTGACACTGCTGCTTGCACGAACCCTAAACCTAAACCCTAAACCGATCATCGCAATATGTGCTTTCGTATATTCTGCCGTGTTAAGCCCTGATGCCGCAAACTGTACATTCGTCTTTCCGCCGTGTCATCCCTGAAAAGTCTTTCCGGTGCGAGGGGCAACCACGCCCCTAGATACTTGGACGGAACCCCTATTGAAACGACAAAGCTTGATAAGCCTGGGACCTATGTAGAATAATAGCCTTTTATAGGTCTTGCTTGGGCCATTATTCTACATACTTTTCGGGGTTTTAGGTAGGTCCCAAACCCGAAGCTCGTTGGAGCCCCCATGGCTCAGCCCCGAACCATCCCGAAGCCTCACGAACAAAACCCCGAGCCCTCCAGAGCCTGAGCAGAAAGGCACGTTGGCCATTCTTAATAGAGGGGCCTTAATCCTTAGAATAGGGTTTTTTTGGGGTATATTATACTAGAATTACAACAAGGAACCCCCCAAAAATAGTATAGGTAATCATTACGGCCCATATATTATGGATCCTGTTTACTTTTTGTAATGTGGGGTTTCCTTATAAAAGGGAGCCAGGAAAGAGCGTCCTTTCTTCTTTCTCAGCAACTCCAATCCTCCAAACCCGAACCCCAGAGCTTTGAGTCCTTACCTTATAGTAGTAGCGTAGGTAGCCTTGGACTTGTTTTGAGTATAATTGTTCCCAAAAGTTAACCTTTAGTTCCCCGAGGATACTGGACAAGCAAGACAAAGTAAACCCTAACACATACTAAAACCCCAAGGCCCTAAGAATCAAACTCCAAAACCCTAAAACCCTAAAACCCCCAAAACCCTAATTAAAACCACCAAAACCCTGAACAAACCCTCAAAACCCCAAAACCTTTAAGACCCCTAAAGCCCTAAAGCCCTATACCGAGGCAAGAGTTCCCCAGCGGAACCATCCCCGCAGACCGACGCTGGGCGGAGTCAGCATGTGGGGAGTTTTCTAAATTAGGGTTTAGTTTTACGGTTTGCACGTCCGGTTTCAAAAGGCTCATGGTTTAGGGTTTTGGGTTTAGTTTTACGGTTTTTCAAGTCCGGTTTCAAACGAGTCACGGTTTAAGGGTTAAGAGTTTAGGGCTTTGTGGTAGTTTTCTAAATTAGGGATCAGGATTCAGGTCTACGGTTTTCAAGTCCGGTTTCAAAAGAGTTGCGGTTCAAGGGTTAAGTGTTTAGGGCTTTGTGGTAGTTCTCTAAATTACGGTTCAGGGTTCAGGTTTACGGTTTCCAAGTCCAGTTTCAAAAGGTTTACGGTTTAAGGGTCAAGGGCTTAGGTTTTTGTGGTAGTTCCCTAAATTAGGGATCAGGGTACAGGTTTACGGTTTTCGATTCCGGCTTCAAAAGGCTTATGGTTTAAGGGTTAAGGGTTTAGGGTTTTGTGGTAGTTCTCTAATTTAGGTATACGGTTTTCAATTCCGGTTTCAAAAGGTTTGCGGTTTCAGGGTTGGTGGTTTAGGGCTTGGTGGTAGCTCTCTAAATTAGGGTTCAGGGTTTAGGTTTACGGTCTTCGATTCCGGTTACGGTTTAAGGGTTAAGGCTTTAGGATTTTGTGGTAGTTCTCTAAATTACGGTTCAGGGTTTAGGTTTACGGTTTTTGATTCCGGTTTCAAAAGGTTTACGGTTTAAGGGTTGATGGTTTAGGGTTTTGTTGTAGCTCTCTAAATTAGGGTTCAGGGTTTAGGTTTACGGTTGTCGCTCCAGTTTCGAACGGTTTAAGGGTTAAGGGTTAAGGGTTGAGGATTTTGTGGTAGTTCTCCAAATTAGGGTTCAGGGTTTAGGTTTTCGTTTTTCAATTCCGGTTTTAAAAGGTTTATGGTTTAAGGGTTGATGCTTTAGGGTTTTGTGGTCGCTCTCTAAATTAGGGATCAGGGTATAGGCTTTTCAAGTCCGGTTTCAAAATGTTTACGGTGTTTACGGTTTAAGGGTCAAGCGTTTAGGTTTTGTGGTAGTTCTTTAAATTTAGGGTTCAGGGTTTAGGTTTACGGTTTAAGGGTTAGGGTTTTGTGGTAGTTCTCTAAATTAGGGTTCTGGGTTCAAGAGTTCAGGTTAACGGTTTTAGGGTTTGGGGTTTGGGGGTTTTGTTGTAGTCCTCTAAAGGTCCCCTTGCAGGGTCCCAGTTTGGAGTTTAGAGAACTGCCGATGTGTGTTTTTTTTATCATATTTTTGGGTTCTTGACTACATAGGGTGCCGTATTAGGAGAGTAGAATTAATGTTAGACAACTGTGACAATGTGGATTCTCCGTTGGTTCTGGGGTTGTTTTTGGGCTTCTGAGGCCTTCGCGAAGCGGTTGTGTAACTAGGACAAGGACTTCAAAGCTCGTGCGCTTGAGGGGCTCTTAGGGCTTTGGCTTGAGGATGGTTTAGGGTTTAGGGTTTAGGGATTTAGGCGCGACAACTTACTCGATTTGGTGCTGCTTCAGAATCTTTACACGAAGCGTTTCAATCCTGCTAAGTGTGAGTGGTCAACACTTGGGTTCTACGTGCACTCGCTACCTTACTTTATTAGTACCTTATACCGCTACATCATACTATATTCGATATAGACGTATCTTATACGACTATATTATATATGTATACTCATAGCCTATTAGGCTCCATTATAGTACCTTCTTGTGGTTTATATTTAGGATCCTTGAAGGTAAGGCCAAAAAAGGAACTACTATGGAGCCTATGGGTATTATGCCATCGTATTCTATTGTTATTGAAAGCCCCCACAGGTCGGGCCGAGGCGACCAAGGAGAAGCCGGGAACCCTGCGCGCCAAAGCGGTGCGCATCCGTGGGAGCACGGAGTCCGCGTATCCCTTCGTCAAGGCCCTGACCCAGGAGGCTCTCGGTGTGGTGTCTCGGAGTTTAGGGTTTAGGATATCTGGGGTTTAGGGTTTTTTAGTGAGCTGACAGAGTTTGGGTTGTTTTAAGGGTTGTGGTTGTTGTTGTTGTTGTTGTTGTTGTTGTTGTTCTGTTGATCGGGGGGTTTAGAAGAAATTAGCGGCAATAGCAGCTAGACGTTGTCAGGATCAGTACGGCACATTGTTGACTGCATTTCCGCCTAGCTGCCTCACTGCCATGTTCGTGTGAGTATGTTCCTTCACGAGAACCGCCCACAGGCTTACGACTTGGGGTTTCAGGGACCCTAAACCCTAAACCTTAAACCCTAAACCCTAAACCGTTTGGGATGTCTAAGGCTTAGGTTTGGGGTTGACGGCTTATCAGGTTCAGGATTTGCAACTTCGCAGCCCCGAACCTCACCTGAGCTTTAGCAACTTGGTCATGATGCTTGGACAGCTTTCATTGGTCCCGGCTTTTGTGTGTAGGTTTGGAGCTTGCGCAAGGAGTGTGTGTGTATATATATATATATGCATATATTTTATGGTTATTTACTTATGTATTTATATTTCGTACATACATTCATACTTTTTGTGATCTCTTCATCTCTACTTGGCTCATAACTTCGGGGTTGGTTCCCAAGCTCAGAATGCAGAGCTCACCCCGATGGAGTCAGCTTCCCTACACACGCAGCCGGGACAAGCTCAAGGAGACCAAGCGAGCGCAACACATCTTTTTAAGGTTGGCGTATCCCCCTAAAGCCTAACCCCTTAACCCTAAACCCTAAACCCCCTAAACTCTAAACAAGTTCAATCGGCTATTGCATGGCTCTTTGGTGTATTCGAAGTGGGCAAAACTTCAGCAGCCCAAACAAGCAACTAGCGTCGTCGAGCTTCCTAAGGTCCCGCCATACGCGATGCATCATACCTACCTGAACCCCGAAACTGATTTGTTTCAAGGGTATACAGAGAGAGAGAGAGATACAGAAAGAGATAGAGAGAGAGATACAGTGATATCAGATTGTGGAGCCCTCAAGAGGTAGGTTTCTTAAGCTTTTTACCTTTAGTCTCCATTGTAGTTCCTTTTTTGGGGATACCTTTTAAACTCCGTAATTGGTTAAACCAAAAAAAAGGAACTACAATGGAGCCTGTAAGTAAGCTTCAGGTAGCTTCACCTTCAAACTCTCAACCTGGCCAGGCGGGGCCCGGGGCTCTGGGCCAAGTTCCTCCGGAAGCGCTGAAAGATGAGCGGCTGCAACTGATGGATCCTGATGGAATCCAGGAATAATTTAGATGCCTAAATAGTTAAACCAACATTATTGTTAGGGCTCCTTATTATATATATATATATACACATATATTTATATATACTATAAAGGAGCCCAAATCCCTATTCTACTTATTAAGGCCCCTACATTAATGTGGCTTCAGGATGACGAGGGGGTTGTTACCAACCTTCTCCGTGGGCCAAACAGGAAGGTTTTAACCCACCTTCTCTGGGAATGGTTCAGAAGAAGGACCCCGACGAAGGAGACTAGGTTTGAGCAACCCCCTGCACACGTTGGAGCTTAGAATGTAGCACTTCTGAGTCACAGTCGTTTGCTTTCTTCCGTTCTCGATCAGCGGACGAATCGACAGTAACCGAAACAGCTCGCTCCAGCAATCGCGGCACATGAACTTGTATACCTGTGAAAACTTTAGACCAACCTTCTTAAACATGATCTTTCGTTTCCACTGCCACAGTGCCGTGCGCGCAGAAAAAGGCTCCCCATGCTATCGTGCTGTTTGCGACGGATGATGAAGCATTCGGCCCTGTGTACTGTAGTTGTGCCTAGACACGCTTGGTCAGATGTCGGACAGCTTGTGCGGGCAGAGCCCCAGTCAATCGTCGGCGTGTTGCATCCCAGCTTTGCAGGACGACGAGGAGTCCGAAAACTCTGTATCCATCCAGCTGCTGCAAGGCATGTCATTGGGTGTCACCATGCTGGTGACGCTTCCTATTCTTACGAATACTAAGTAGCGATGGTACCCCTAAGACCCGCTGCAGAAGATTCTGGTCTAACAAACAACAACCCACCAAAATCATTATGACGGCCCGTGCGTGAAGCACTGTAGAATCCGTTCTGATTATTGCAGGCACCTGGTCCAGTGTGCGCTTGGAGAATGTTTCAGGCCCCCTAAGCCTTAAGCCCCAGCTTTAAGCCCAACCCTAAACCCTAAAACCCTAAACCCCAACCTCTAAATTCTTAAGCCCCAGCTTTAAGCCCAAACCCAACCCTGAACCCTAAAACCCTAACCCCCAACCTCTGATTTCTTAATAGGCAGATCCGGATCAAAGGCCAACGAAAGCCAGCAGCCCACTCCCTCCACCCAGGCCGAAGATAGGTGCCTTAACAGCTAACCCAGAGAGCCCAATACCCCTTATATAGTTAAGGAATATAGCTTAAATTATAGGGGCGCTAATATCATGGTTTAAGCTATATTCCTCAATTCAGGGGTATTGGGCTCTCTGGGAAGTTCGGCAGATAGGCAGACAGACAGATAAACAGATAGATAGAGATTGATAAAGATGAATAGACAAGAGATAGATGAGATTAGGCTTAGTCAGACTAGGGTTTAGGGTAGGATTCGGCTGTCACACGATTTAGTTAGATTAGATTAGACTAGATTAGACAGACGGGTAGACAGATAGCTCGATAGAGAGTCAGATGCAGAGCTAGGTAGTGAGACAGATCCTAGATGGATGGACAGACCGATGATTAGATGGATGGATGGCTAGCGGATAGATGTTCCTGGTACATTTACGGTGTAGAATCGTCAGAACCACCCTAAACCCCAGACCCCAAACCCCCAAACCCCTAAACCCTAAACCCTAAACCCTCAACCCCTAAACCCCTAGACCCTCAACCCCTAAACCCCTAGACCCGAAGCCCCTCAACCCCAACCCTAAACCCTAAACCTGGAACCTCAGAGTCTGATATTACTTCGATCAGCATTATCTCAGTGCTCCGTCGTGAAGCGCCGCTTTATGTCAGGGCGTGGAGCGTGCCTGCCCCCGACTTTGTGGAACGTTCGGGGGCCTGAACTTGCCAGTGTCATCCCATAGGCCCCATAGTAGTTCCTTTTGGGGGTTCATATTTAGAATCCTATAAGGTAATCCCCAAAAGGAACTACTATGGGGCCTATATGGGTTCGGTTCAGTTTCGGATTTGGGGTTTCGCGAAATTTCGCGGAATAGCAGCTGCGCCTGACATGCATGGTGCTGCTGATGCGGGGCCTTGCACACAAAGATACGCGCAACAAAACGACAAGAAGCAACATGCCAACAGACTAGCGCATGTGTCTATCTATGTGCGTACTAGCCTAGGCACTAGGCAGCTGCGGATTATTAAACCATGGGAACGTGCCATTCTCTAGGCCCCTAGGCGTGTGGGCGAGTAGGTTGCTATGCACACAGCTCGGTGAGGATCGTGGCGGATGCGCCTCAAGATACTTGAGTATACACGCCCATGCCTGCAAGATTCTGCACACATACATTCACACATGCACACGCTCTTTGTCTTTCTCGCGTTTTGTCTTGTTGCTTGTCCGTGTGTCGCAGTGGATCACGATGTTGCTGCTTTGCTTGCGCCTTAGTTGGCAACTTCGGCTGTTTGCTGCTTGAGCTGGTCTTGCCACCGTACACTCCTTCCGTACTTTGAAAAACCAACCCTGAACCCTAAACCAAACCGCGCATCGAAGAGCCGTTTCCAGCAGCTCCCCCACCGGCGCTTCGGAGTAGCCCGGCACAAGCATGGCCCACCAGGCCTGCTGGGGTGTTGGGAGGTTATATGATATAATGATAGGGTTAGGGGTGTAGGGTTGAGGGCTAAGGGTATTTCAATTTTGTTGTTGGTGAAGGGGGGTGTCAAGGCATAGGACGGATGTTTAGGTTTTAGGTGGTGCTTGCATTCCTTGGCGCTTCGTTTGGCATTTCTGCCTTTCGTGGGGTTCCCTAATGATTGCAAGTATAGTATGCGAAAGTGTTATACCACCCGCTTGCCAAAGCCCTTAGTGAGCTCAGCGGCCTAACCACTCTCCGAAGCCCGAGCCTAACCTAAGCTCGAAATTTGGGAACCACCGGAGGTTGCGAAAGTGCTGCGCTGGCAGCGTTCCTCGGGACACTCCGTATCCGAGCACGCTGCTCGGATGCAGGGATCCAGCGCGAGGGCACGGCTTGCGCAGTAGTCAAAGGGTGCCCTCCGTCATTCGCCATGATCTACCTATAGTCTCCATTGTAGTTCCTTTTTTGGGGGGTACCTTATAAAATCCTTCACATATATATATATATATATATATTTGGTTAAACCAGAAAAAGGAACTACAATGGAGACTATAGGTAAGCCCCAGATCCTAAACTTTTTGATTTTGAGATCCGGGCAGCCGAATACGCTTGCGGCGCCTTGTTGGTATTTCTTGATCTCAGTTGCTTACGCATCGGCCCTAGACTGCATCCCTTTTAGCTCCAGAATAGAAATCCTAAGCTCTGCACGCCTCAAACCCTGAGCACTAAAGCCTAAAAGCCCTAAGCCCTAAACCCCTTAAGCCCTAAACCCTAAATCCTCTCATAAGAAATTAAGTATAAATCCTAAATGCCCTAAGTCCTCTTATTAAAAATTAAGTATAAATCCTAAAAATCCCTAAACCCTAAACTGGGCCCTCAACCCCCAATCTGAGGGGCCGGGAACCCAGAGAGCCCAATACCCCATAATTAAGGAATATAGCTTAAATTACAGGGGCCTTGATATTATGCTTTAAGCTGTATTCCTTAGTTAAGGAATGTAGATAAATTATAGGGGCCTGAATATTTGAGCTATATTCCTAAACCCTAAACCCTAAACCCTAAACCCCTAAACCCTAAACCCTAAAACCCTAAACCCTAAACCCTATTCCTTAATTAAGGGGTCTTGGGCTCTCTAGGGGAAAGCTCGGGAGCCCGAGCTCAGGTCGGTGTAAAACCCTGGGACCCTAATATACCTGCTATATACCCTATATATACCCTTAAGGGACCCTAGAATCCCCTAAGGGCCCATGTTAGGGGCCCATGGGTTCAACCTTAGATCAGGTCGGTGGAGTTCGAAAGCGTCCTGCGATGGCAGCGGCGGCCGCGGATCTGCCTCCCGTGTCGCGCTGCCTGGCTGCTGTTGAGGGGCACTTTGTAGGGTTTAGGGGTTTAGGGTGTAGGGTTTAGGGGTTTAGGGGTAATGGCATTTTATAGGGGTTTAGGGGTTTTAGGGGATGAGTGGCATTGCAGACTTGAAGG